AAAAAAACATTGTAGATATAACAAGTTATCTTAAAGAGATAACTTAGATCACAAAGAAAAGAGAAACAGAAAAATGTGAATTTTATAACTTTCAAGTGTTTTCCTTTTTTGCACATTAGTGGTTTTTTTTCTTGTTATTTAATTTCTCTTTAGTATTTCTTGTAAGAAGGTCTGGTAGTGGTTAAATTCTCTCAGATTTTGCTTGTCTGGAAAAGATTTTCTCTCTCTTTCATATTCAAAGGATAGCTTTGCTGGGCACAGTATTTCTTAATGGCAGTTTCTTTATTTCAGAATGCTGAAAATGTCATCCACTTTCTCCTGGCTTGTATGGTTTCCATTGAGAAGTCTGTTGCCTGACAAATGGGAGCTCCTTTATATGTGATTTGCTTCTTTTCTATTGCTGCTATTAGAGTCCTCTCTTTGTCCTTGACCTCTGACAGTTTGATTACTGATTATTCCTTGGAATAGTTTTATTTGGAGAAAATCTGTTTGGTGTTCTCTGAGCTTCCTCTACTTGGATATTTACCTTTTATCTCTTTCTGAAGTTTTGGAAAGTTTTCTATTATTATTTCTTTGAATGAGCATTCTACCCCTGGTTCTTGCTCAACTCCTTCTTGAACACCAATAATTCTCAAATTTGGTCTTTTGAGGTAATTTTATGAATCTTGTAGGCAGTCTTTGTTCCTTTTTTTCCCTTTTCTCCCTCTGATTGTGTATTTTCAAATAGCTTGTCTTTGAGTTCACCAATTCTTTCCTCTCCTTGATCTATTCTGCTGTTGAACACTTCTGAGTTCTTCACTTCAGCAAAAGTATTTCTCAGTAATTCTTGTAATTCTCCATTTTCTTACTTTTCCTACTGCCTTCTTTTGTACTTCAGTGATTTTTTTTTTTCTGGTCATAAATCTTTTGTAGATTTCTGCCTTGTGGTTACTGTGAGACTTATGAAAAACATTATAGATATAACAAGTCATTTTAAAGAGATAACTTATTTAGATCACAAAGAAAAGAAGATAAACAGAAAAAAGTAAAATATTCTTCACTTTATAATCTCCCTTCACATTTTGACTTTTTGTTGTCTCAATTTACAAATTTTTTTTAGTTTTAATCTCTTTGTTAAATTTCTCTGATAAATGTTTGATTTGCTCTTCTGTGTTATCTTAGAGATAACTGAGTTTACTTTAAAATGTTATTTTGAATTCCTGATAAGAGAGCTCATGTTTTGCTGTCTCATTAGTGCCAGTCATTTATTCCTTTTTTTTTCCAGTGGTAGAGGCCATGGTTTTCTGTTGGTTGTTGTTTCTTGTGGATGTATATTGATGTCTTTGCATTGAAGTGCTATTTATTTATTCCAGTCTTCTATATCCAGATTGTTTTGGTTATTATTAAATATGTTGACTTAGAGATTCTTTGTAATTTACCTGTTGATTCCTTTCTTTTCTTTCTTTTTTTTTCAGCTATGTCACTGCCTGCTTTTTGACACTAGATGGCACCTTAGGCTCAGGTTTGCCATGACTTTAGTAAAGGATCAGCGTTCCACCCATCCCGAATGGGAGAGGTCCCAAGGGGTTTATCTTGGCAGCATAGAAGGACTGGCTATGGGTTTGTGCCCAGGTGACCTGTGAAACAAATCTATAGTGCAGTGCTGCTGAACACCAACTCTAATTTAGCGTCTCCTTTGGTTGAATTTCAAAGCAGAGTTTCCAAGGCTAGGAGTAGTAGCCCCACCTCCCTCTTTTGTCTCTGACTGTGCTCAGGGATATTCCTCCCTTTAGACTCTCATACTTTCTGCACACTGAGGCAGGAATAGGTTTTCTGCTAGAAAAACCAAGATGGTTGGGATGCTAGTTGCCCATCTTGATCTCACTATAGTGTACAAACTATAAGTCAAGGGGAAATATTTCCTGTGCTTGGTGTTGGGAAGATTGGGGGAGCAGGAATAACAGACACTAAAGTCCAGTTCTCTTACCATCTGCTAGAAGCATTTTCACTTCTCTGTTGCTATGGCCCCAGGAACTGTCTCTTTCTCATGTTTGATTTCTGGACTATTGCTGGTGATAACTTCAGTGCTGTGTATTTGGTTTTCTATGGGGGACAGGCAAGACAAAGCCAACTTGCTTCTACATTGCCTTTTGGAACCAGAAGTCCCTCCTTCTTAATTGCTTTAAAATTTGTAGAAGTGTTTAGGTTAATATCAGAACATTGCCTTATGGGACTGACAATATATAGAATTATAATATACATGAAAGCATTTGAAATAATATTTTAGCAAAAATTGATGATTCTTAATAATAATAGCAAACATTCCTTTCTGAAAGAGACTTATTAATAATTTGGTGACATAAGCATTTAAAACTTTCCACATAAATGTGTATATTGTATGCATGTATACTTTTTGTATGGACACACAGTAAAACTAAAAAAACTGTACAACAGCTAATGTTTAATATTTCATATATGCCACACAGGTTGTTAAGAAGTTGAGATGAATTACCCTAAATAATTTTTATAGAAAATGATTTCCGTTTCAAAAATGAGAAAAACAATGCTTAAAGATGTCTGTGTCACACAGCTAGTAAACAAAAAACTTAAAATTTAAACCTAGCCCAAGTCTAAGCCTTTATTTTCATACTCTACATTAAAGGATAGAAAGAAAAGTATTATCACTTTATGATTGTTGAAGTTATTAAGGTAGTTGATATTTATTTATTTTTATTTGTTTAATTTTTTTTTTAGGGGGAGTCTCACTCTGTCGTCCAGGCTGGAGTGCAATGGAAGGCTCACAGCCACCACAGCCTTGAACTGCCGGGCTCAGGCAAACCACGGGCATGGGCTACCGCGTCCAGCTAATTTTTGATTTACTGTAGAGACGAGGTCTCACCAAGTTGCCAGGGGCTGGTCTCCAACTCCTGGGCTCAGGCAATCCTCTCGCCTCAGTCTCCCCAAATGCTTGGATGATAGGCTTGAGTCACTGTGCCCGGCTGATATTTATTCTTGAAACCCTCTTATACCCTCTAGTCAGGAAGGCAACCTGAGTTCTCTGTTTGGCCCTGTAATGAAGCATTAATAACTTTGCTTTCCAGAAGGTCTAATACAAACACTTTTTGAATCAAATACCCAGAAGTACAGACTCCAGAATAGGAAAAAAGGGGCTAGAAGACACATAGCTATGCAGATTGCCATAATGATAATCAAATATCTGTGCTAATGGCAAACAATACTGCTGGCCTGCCTGGCTGCCCATCACTGTGCTTTTTCTTAGTCAGGCAGCACTAATGAGACACTCTTAAAGTCTTCTGTGTTGACATTTTAATTTTTATGGACTCCAAAAAAGCTCAAGCTGGCTTACAGAGTGGCTTGCTGTGGTTGCATTTTTCAGCCATAGCCGGGCCCATGGGGACTGGAAATTGATTTGTTTTTCTCCCTTGCCTTAGAGAAATGGCATGAACAGGGGTAGTTCAGGGACAGATCTCCCCAGGTCCCTGGATACCCATAGCAATCAATCTGAGCTTAAATCCTTTTGTATAACAATTATGAAAATTTCCCAGGGTGGCAGAGTATATGGATAAAAGTTAAACATTAGGAGGAAAGAAATCTTTAACAGGCTTTTACACCGCTTTTAATGCTGTTTGTAGATTATTTGTTATTATTAAAAAAAACTCGAAGCTTCATGCAAACATGGAAATTCAGAAGGAGCCACAAATGCTCTCAGGAATGCAAAAGAACACAAAAGACCCCCAAAATGAGGCAGAAATGTGCCTGACTCCAAGAATATTCTTGCTTATTTCCCGATTCCCCTAACTCCACTTCCACATCAGTTAACTGTATTGTTTTTATCAGCAAAAAAAGGAGTTCTTTAGTCACCCTATCTCTGTGTTATTTTAGCAGGTATGTAAATATCAGGAATACTCTATTTCAGCAGCCATCAGGTGAGAGAAAAAAAACATCATCAGAAATATATGCATGCTTGAACCTGCAGCACCCAGATCAGACCCTGACATGTGATCTCATTCATTCTCCTCCTCTCTTTTTATTTCTCTCTCTTTCTTCTTTCTGTCTTTCTCTTCTTCTATTTAATCCTGCCTCCTTTTTTCTACTCTCCTTCCTTCCTCTCTTGATTTTTCTTTCTTTCTTGCCATCTGTTTTTTTTATTTCCTTTTGTTTTACCCTTCCATCTTTGTCTTTCCTTCTTCCTTTTGTTCTTGCTTACTTTCCCTCCTTTTGTCACTCAACAATTATTTGTTGAGTACCTACTATGTAACAGGTGCTGTGTTTAATACTAGTTACAAGAGGAAATAAAGGAGCCAGGCATGGTGACTCACATCTGTCATCTGAGCACTTTAGAAGGCAGAGGCGAGAGGATTGTCTGAGCTCAGGGGTTTGAGACCAGCCTGAGCAACTTGGTGAGACCTTGTCTCTACAATAAATCAAAAAATTAGCCAGGCATGGTGGCACATGCCTGTGGTTTCAGCTACTTGCAAGGCTGAAGCAGAAGGATGACCAGAGCCTACCAGGTCAAAGCTGCGGTGGCTGTGAGCGTGCCACTACACTCCAGCCTGGGTGACAGAGTGAGACTTCAACTCAAAAAAAAAAAATTAAATTTTTTTTTTAAAAAAGGAGAAAGAGCCTTTGTCTTCATGCTTAAAATCTAGCAGTTGGAGCTCACTGCATGTCAATGGATTTAAAACACTCTCTTTACTTTGTGGCTCTCTGTATTCCAGAAGAGAATGGTTGGTAAAGATAGCAGCACTAGAAAGCTCTAAAAAATAATACTGCCAACTCAGAGGACACCAACTCAGAGGCGAGGCCCGGCCACCGTGGCCATGCGATGGTGACAGGAGCATGGCTGAGATGCACGGGCCCCTCGCCCTCACACCTCCCGCCCCCTCACAGCTTCCTCAGCCGAGGCTGCTCTGCAGCGGCCGCAGCACGCGTGGCCCACCCTCGTCTCTCTTCGCCACCCCGGTCCCGGCATTGCCCAGAGGCTGCTGCACTCGGGGATCATGACCCAAGTGGCAATGTCTACCCTGCCCGTTGAAGATGATGAGTCCTCAGAGAGACGTTTCTCATGTCTGCTCTTGAGTCCATGTGTAAAGAACTGGCCAAGTCTAAGGCAAAAGTGGCCTGCATTGCAGTGTATGAAACGGATGTGTTTGTTGTTGGAACCGAAAGAGGACATGCTTTTGTCAATACCAGAAAGGATTTTCAAAAAGATTTTGTAAAATACTGTGTTGAAGAAGAAGAAAAGGCTGCAGAGATGCGTAAAATGAAATCTACAACTCAGGGGAATCAAATGAGTGTAGATGCTGTAGAAATTGAAACACTCAGAAAAACAGTTGAGGACTATTTCTGCTTTTGCTATGGGAAAGCTTTAAGCAAATCTGAAAGGACTTCGGCGCCAGTAACAACTTCACACCCGGCCAGAACCAAGAGATTTATTAAAAGGGGTAGTTACAGGAAGGGACTGTGACCGAGGAAGACAAGAGAGAGAGACTGCAGGGAGAGGGCTGTATTTATTAGCCTGACAGCAGCCAGAAGGGGCAGCGCTATATTTTATTGGAGGAGCGGCCTGGGAGCAGGGTGAGCAGATGCCATGTTGCAGGCCCATTGAACGTATAACAAAGTTAGCTACATTATGGAAAATGATTGGACGCATGCTAGGGGAACTATGCTGAAGAAGCCGGAACCTAGGGCCTTTGTTGTCTAGTGTGGTTTTACCTTGTTCGGAGCCATTTTGGGAGGTGTCGCTCTGGCTGTTTCCTGAACCCTTCATTCCCACCTTTTCTGTTTATTTGGGAGAGGGGCATCATTACTCCTTCTGGCTGCTTCCTGCTGTATGTGGGCATTGCGGGATGAGGTGGAGGAAGGACACAGAACCAGCCAGAATAGGGTCCAGAGGTAGGCACTGAAGGTGAAGATTTTTGAAGGCAAGAGTTTCATGAAAGTTTTTTGTAGATGTAGAAAAAACTTGTTCCGGCCAATCCTCCAGTGGGCACGAGGGCGGTACTAACCAGCTGTCTTGGAGTAGACTGTGGAGGTAGATAGAGAACCTGGAAGAGAGCATATCTAAAGAGGAAAAATTAGATGAGAAGTTTGGTTGTTATAGCTCCGGATTTTCTACTGGAACAGGTTGGTAGCTATTAAGTAAGGAGCTATTAAGTAAGTAAGTAACAGGAGGTTAAGGCTTTGATTAAAAAAATTTGAGACAGTGGTTTTTATGTAAGTAAGGAGATATTTGATGATGCATGGTCCTAGGGTTACAGCCAGTAGGAGGAGGATTACTGGGCCGGCTACTGCCGAAACTAGAGTGGTAAGCCGGGGGGCCATGAGAAGAGGGTTTGATACCAGTTTCCATAGGCTTGATTTTGTGACTCTCGATGTTCTATATTGTCTCTTACTTGAGCGAGAGTTTCTCTTATTATCCCTGATTTGTTGGCATAAAAACAGCAGGCTTCTCCCAGGGTTATACATAGCCCTCCTTGTTTTAAGAAAAGGAGGTCTAGGCCTTGTCTATTTTGTAATACTACCTCAGTGATAGGGTCAAGCTGTTGTTCTAATTGAGACACACTCGATTCTAGTAGGCGTAGATCAGTGTCAATTTGAGTGCTGAGCTGTTTAAGATTTTGGTCACCCAGAACCAAAGAGGTCGTTCCTATGGCTGTAGCTCCACAAATGCCTAGTCCCATTAGTAAAGGGACTAACAGTTCCCGTTTTGAGCGGTTGGTGTTAAAGAGTTTGAGGTGTTGTCTGCCTTCCGTTCCTTTGTAAATGTATACCTGGGGTAGGATGTGGACCAAGATGCACAGTTCTTTTGTGTCACTGAGATGCTGTAAGCTGATGCATGGGGTGATCCCTTGGGTGCAGCCAAACCACGTAGTAGGGTGGACCACGGCAAATCGGGGGATGGTTTGATTATGGAAGATGGTGATGTTAATATGAGAAGTGTTGTTGCAGGACGATTGAAGGGGTGATGTAGCTATAGGAAACTTTGAGGAGAAGAGACACGTTCCTTGTCCTTGGAAGTCATCTAGTGTGAGTGAGGGATGAGTGCCCTGGGGACATAATTGCTGATCTTGTATCGCAGTGAGGGTAAGTATTTTTATGTTAGTTTCTGCATTGCCCACTGAAGAAACTGCCCCAACTCCCATGTAATATGGAGGTCGTGGGTTCAGGCATAACCAGCAATCTTTTGCCAAAGAGGGGCGGGTTATATTAAGTAGATGGTGTACCACCATTAGTAAGTGAAGGAACTGATCAGATGGTAAGGGGATGGGGGGGTTTTTAGGGTGGGCGATACGATTGTCACCCCTTTTGGGGTGAGAGGGGAAGAAGTTATGAGTTGGATTTTTGAGCCCGTGGGTATGGGTTTGTGTAGGATTACTTTGCGCAGTGATCCCATGGGATTGGGTGTGCATGGAATAGGCTTTCATTGGACGGTAAGTAGCATACCTGGATTTGTTCCAGGAGTGTACAGTCGAAGGCCCCACGTTTTGCCAGTGTCCCATGCCTTTGGAAGGCTAAAAGCGTCCCACAGAGTAATGATAAGTTGTAGTGGATTACAGGTTTTGGGTTGTATACAGGGAGAAGTGGAAGGCAGTCTTGTAATTGATATGTAAGGGTCAGAGTTGCCTTTCCATGGAGCTATGGTTTCGCGTCCCCAGGTAGCGCAATGAAACTGCTGGGGTTTGTGTTGTTCCCCCGTGTCAGGGCAGATATAGAATTTGACGTTTTTAAGTTGAATTTCGTCTTCCAGGCTGCCATAACTACATCCCCATCCTCTGGTGGAGGAGCCTCCCCATCCCTCTGGGACGATGGACAGGCTGGGACATAATTTGCAGAGATCAAAGTTAAATACCAGCTGCCCGTGTCCGAGGTATGTGGAGACTACAGTTTGTGTAGAGGCATTTATTATTTCCCAAGAAAAGTTACCCGGTACATAATATGGGTGAGGTTGGTAAGTTTGAGTTTATGGAAGGATCAGAAAGAAGAGGGTAGTGATTTTGAAGGTAAGACCAGGGGTTATTTTGGTAGCTAAAGAAGGCATTTGATAAGGACAAAGCTTGTGACGATTAGGAGATAGGTAACGGCCAACAGAATTTTTGCCACAGATGACCAGCTTGTGGGTGCTGAGTAGATGAGTAATATAGTAAGTAGGATGGTGATCAGGCCAAGAAAGGAGAGGGGCCAAGGGTTACAGGTTTCCTGTGTTGTATCCAGGATGTTGGTTTGGATTTGGGTTGGGATGAGTGGTGAGTCGAGACAGGCGAAGTTTAAGTGGTTGGTCTGGAACCTTGGAGCAGGTATACCTGTAAGTAGGTGGACAAATATTATAGGTGAGACGTGAGGAAGGAGGGGTAGCAGGTTTTAAACGGGAGATGTGAATTCATGGGGTGACCTGACATTGGCCCGTGATAAGTTTTTAGGTCATGGGAGTTGACAAAATTACCTGAAGAGGTTCGGACCACTTTGGGTTTAAAAGAGACCTTGTCTCTGGGTCAGAAAGATAGACCCATTGTCCCAGGAGAAGGGGAGGTGGGATTTGACTGCTGGGTGAAACAGGTAAGAGAAGATTTTGATATTCCCAAATATGGGAATGAATGAAAGACAAGAGGGGGTAAAACATGTGAGTGGGTGCCAGGGTGGTTGAGGTGGAAATTCCTGGAGGCAGTGCTGGACGGCCATATATTACTTCAAAAGGTGAGAGTTGGGATGGTTTTTTTGGGAGGACTCATAAGCAGAAGAGGGCTAGAGGAAGGAGGGCGGTCCAGTTCTGATGGAGTTCGTGGGATAATTTGGTGAGGAAGTCTTTAAGGGTCCGATTGGTTCGCTCTACTTTTCCAGATGACTGTGGGTGGTATGAAATGTGAAAATGCCAATTAATGTGGAGGTCAGTTGTTAGAGACTGTACCGCCCGTGAAGTGAACTTGGGTCCATTATCAGATTGTAGGAATGTGGGGACACTGAACCTGGGAATGATATGGCTAGCAAGGATAGTCTCTTCTGTTGCTGCTCATTTATTTGAAGTCAGGAATGCTTCTACCCACCCAGAAAAGGTATCAATGAAGACAAGGAGGTATTTAAGGTTGTGGACTGGGCGCATGACAGTGAAGTCGACCTGCCAGTCTGCTCCTAGGAGTTGTCCCTGAGCCTGATGAGTAGGAAAGGTCCCTGGTTTTAAAGGGGTGTTGGGGTTGGTTTGCTGGCAGATGGAACATTGTGAGGTAATAGTTTTTATAAGTTTCTTATGTTGGGGGTTGAGAGTGTAAAAATCTGTTAGGAAAGACGTCAGCATGGAGGGATTGGTGTGGAAGATTGAGTATAGGTATGGGATAAGGTCTGAAATGGAGGGGGAAGTTGAGGGTAGAGAATCAGTGGGGAGTGTGTGGTTTGGATTAAGGCGAGCAACAGTCGCCAAAATGGGGACAGATTTTAAAGCTGCTTGCCAGGCTGCATTGTCCGCCCTAGAGTTTCCCTGAGTGATGGGTGAGGAATCAGGCTGGTGGGCCTTGCAGTGAGAAATGCCAATGCTAGTGGGAAGCAAGGAGGCAGCGAGGAGGTTAGAAATTAGCTTAGCATTAACCACTGCTGATCCCATGGTGGTAAATAGCCCCCTTTCCTTCCAAATGGCCAAGTGGGAGAGGAGAATATGGAAAACGTATTTGGAATCAGTGTAAAGAGAGAGAGAGTGTCCAGCCACTAACTGAAACGCTTGAGTGGTGGCTATAAGTTCTGCCTGTTGGTTGGTGGTGCCTGGTGGGAGAGGTTTTGCCTCAATGATCTCTGTAACTGAGGTGATAGTGTATCCGGCAACTTGGGACCCATTGTGGAGGAAGGAGCTGCCATCAGTAAACCAGATATAGGAGGGGGAGGATAAGGGACCCTCCTGGATATGAACTGGACAAGGAAGGAGGGCCTCTACTGTTTCTACACAGTCATGGGTTAGTGGGGATGTGGAAGAGGGGAGCAGCATGGCCGGGTTTAGGGGTGCACAAATTTGAAAGGATATGGAGGGATCTTGTAGAAAGAAGACAAGGAGCGATAGGACTTGACCAGGGGGTAGCGTTTGAAGGCCTTTGTAGCTTAGGAGGTGTTGTAGATGGTGGGGGGAGGTCACGGTAACAAGGGCTCCGAAGGTGAGTTTTTTTGATTCACGCACCAGCATATGGGTAGTGGACAGTGCTCACAGACAGGGGCCCAGTCCTGAATGGTGTGGTCCAACTGCTTTGAGAGGTAAGCCACTGGGGTGAACGTCTGTCCACAAAGTTACCCTAGGACTCCCAAGGCCACTCCTTTGTTTTTGTGGACATATAAGATGAAAGGTCAGTGTATATCTGGCAGATGGAGAGCGGGGGCCCTCAAGAGGGCTTGGTGAAGGGCAATAAAAGGTTGTTTGACGGAGGAGGGCGTTAGGAGTGGTTCACTGGGGTTTCCCTTTATGAGAGTATAGAGTGGCTTTGCAAGTAGGGCAAAGTTGGGAATCCATGCCCGAAAGTACTCAGCCAGCCCCAAAAATGATTGGATTTCCTCTTTAGTCTTGGGTATATGTAGGGATTGGATTAGGCCTTTTCGGTCTGTTGTTATGGCCTTTTGTTGGTGTGAGATGGCTACCTCCAGATATGTGACATGTGTGGCAGACAGTTGGACCTTTTGAGGGGATACTCGATACCCCTTTTTTGCTAGAAAGTTAAGGGTAAGTGCAGTGTCCATTTGAGAGTCAGTTAAAGAAGGGCTACACAAAAGGAGGTCGTCCACATTTTGAATAAGGGTGGATTCGGCAAGTGAGAGGGATTTGAGATCAGTTGCTAGAGTTTGACCAAAGAGATAGGGGCTGTCTTGAAACCCTTGTGGCAGGACTGTCCGAGTGAGTTGCTATGAGTGTCGAGATACTGCATCAGTCCACATGAACGCGAAGATGTTTTGTGAGTCTGCTGCAAAAGGAATGGTGAAGAATGCATCTTTAAGGTCAAGGACCAAGAAGTGAGTGGCGGTTGGAGGAATTGAAGATAAGATGGTATAGGGATTAGGGACAAGCGAATGGATGGGGAAGACAGTGGCCTTAATGAGCCTTAGATCCTGCACTAAGTGGTAAGTGCCATTTGGTTTTTGTACCACTAAAATGGGGGTGTTGAATGGGGAGTTAGTGGAGCATAGATACCCCTTTTGTAACAAAGAATTAATAACAGGTTGGAGTCCTAGAAGACTGGAGGTAGGAAGAGAGTATTGTCGTTGATTAGGATGAGCGGAAGGATTTTTAAGCTGAATGTGGACTGGGGGGCAGTGTACTAGGGAGGGGGAGTTTACGTCCCATACTTGAGGATTTACTATTGAAGAGGGCAAAGGAGGAAGGGAGTCGGAGTTATCGGTAGTTAGAAGGGCCAAGAATGGGGTTGCCGGAGAAGAGTTGTTGAGGGCTGCACTCGGGTTAAAAGTAATGGATGCCTGAAACTTGGCCAAGATGTCTCTGCCCATAAGAGGTACGGGACACTGAGGCATTACCAAAAAGGAATGAGTGAAGGGAACGTTTACAAAGATGCATGTAACCGTAGGAGTTATGCGTGGAAGGATGTACTGGCCCCCTACCCCAACTATAGGGGACTTAGACGGGGAAGTTGGGCCCCAAAATTCCCGTATGGCAGAAAGGGTGGCTCCAGTATCCAGGAGGAAATGGATGGGGCACCTGTCAACCATTATAGTGACCCTGGATTCCCGACGATTTGAGATTAGTGTTGGGCAGGGAGACCCCAGGTCCCGTCATTCTAAGGTTGCTGCCATGCCTAACAGGTCTAGAGCGGGACGGGGGGTTGACTCAGTCCCTCCTTGAGGACCAGGGCAGTCCACTGCACAATGTCCCGCCTGTCCACATTTGGGACATGGTTTTTGGGGTACTCCAGGGTTGGGGCACCCTCATGCCTAATGTCCTGATTGCCCACACTTGAAACAGGGTCCCGGTGGTTGTCGCTGGTTTTGGGTGTTGCCACCACCTCGGGTGACACCGGAGTTGACCTTGGTTCTGTGGAGGGCCTGGGCCAGCATTTGATATTTTTGCCTTTTTGTCCCAGTTATGAAGCACCTTAAAGACGGCTGTGAGAGCATCATGTTGGGGAGTGAGGGGGCCTCTATCAAGCTTTTTTAGCTTTGCCCTAATGTCTGGATAGCTTTGGGAGAAAAAAATACATCATTAGGAGTTGCCGGCCATCAGGGGTCTCAGGGTCTATGTTAGCAAATTGTTGGAGCGCCCTGGTGAGCCAGCTGAGGAAGTTGGAGGGGTTTTCCTCCTTTTCCTGAATGACTTTCTGGAGTTTTTCAAGGTTAACTGTCTTTTATGCAGCCCTGCACAACCCAGAAAGGAGGCAAGTAGAAAGACGATCCCTAGCTTCGATACCAGCAGAGGAGTTGTAATCCCAGCCTGGGTCTTAGTCTGGGACCGCCACTGCCCCAAGAGGGTGAGCAGGGGTGGTTTGATGAACTTTGTCTGCATATGTTCTAGCTTGTTCCCAAACTCTTCTATGTTCCTCTGGAAGTAGGGTGTTGGAGAAGATAAGATAGATATCATAAAAGGTGAGGCTATAGGACTGGATGAGGTATTGAAACTCTTTAATGTAGGTGGCAGGGTTAGTTGTATATGATCCGAGACATTTTTCTATTTGTGAGAGGTCTGAGATAGAGAAGGGGACATGTTCCCGAACCATACCCTCCGCCCCCACCACCTCGCAAAGTGGGGCTAGGAAGGTCAGTGCAACCTTGGATAGGGTTACCGGGGGGCTTCACGGAGGAGTCGTTGGAAGGGGAGGGTATAAGGATCAAGCTGCCGGAGTAGAGGTGGGTGTAGCTGAAGAGGAGGGTGGGGGCAAGGGAGCCTGGAGCTGACTGTAAGGGGAGGTTCGTTCACCGGGTCAAAATCTGAGACAGGGGAGGAGGGAGTAGGAGTAGGAGTGGGACTTGCAGTGCCTGCAGTGGGGGAAGCGGGAGCTGGAGGAGGAGGCATGGACGCCTGTGGAACAGTGGAAGGGAGGGAAGCTGTGGAGGAGGCAGCGGATGCCAGCCTGAATTGGGGGTGGAGGCTGGAGGGATTACAGTGGAGGCAAAGGTGGGGATGTTCACAGAGGAGAGAAAAGGACTGAACATAGGGAATCTCTACCCACCGTTTTGAGCGCTCACAGAAATTGTATAAGTCCCATATAATATCGGGATTTAGGAACCCCTGAAGGGGCCACTGATTTTGGTTGTCTAAGGGATATGTAGGCCAGTCCTGTGTGCAAAGGTGAATTAGGCGTTTGGGTTTGATATCGGGGGTGAGTGAAAGTGTGTTGAGGTTGTTTAAGAGGCATTTAAGGGGTGAATCAGCCGGCAGGGATGACGAGCCTTCCATGGTGGGACAGGTGGACTAAGTGAGGCATCCCCCGAAGAGTCGATTGCCCAAGAAGTGTGGTTGTGGCAAAGCCTGTCATCACAGGGGTTTGGCACAACCAGGGTTCTCCTGGAGAACCGAGAGGTCAAGGCACCTTGCGCAAGGAATTTAGGAACAGACTGAAAGCACTTGACCGAGCAGCGGGTGAGAGGGTATTCGAGATTCCTGCTGGTCGACCAGGACATACTGTGGGGCAATAGGCATGGGAACCTCCGAGGTCCGCTATCACCCAACAGATGTGGGAGCCCTCCAGAATCCGCTGTGGGCTAGCAGACGTGGGACCCCTGGAGTCCGCTGCAGCCCGACAGTCGTGGGAGCCCTTAAGGGGGAGGGAGAGAGGAAAAGAGAATAAACTGCTGTGGGTTAGCAGGCATGGGAGTTTTTAGGATTTGAGAAAGATAAAGAAGAAGAGAAAGCCTTTAGCTGCAGCCTGGCAGCCGTGGGAGTTTTCAGGGTTTGAGATAGATAAAGGAGAAGAGGAAGCTTTCAGGGTCTGCTGTGGCCATGAAGGCCAAGGCGGGGTGCATTCCCCCTTGCCTGGGGGCCGGAGGGTCTGCTGGACTATCAACGGTCAGTTTCCCCCAGTGGTCCCGGGCAAGTTTTAAGCTTCCATGTCTGGGGAACTTACCTATCCAACAATCGCTGGTGGATGCAGCTCACACATTCAAAACAGTGGGGAAGGTCCGGGAGGGCTGGAGTGGCCACCGGCGCCGGGTCAGGGATCCCGCCTACGAAGATAGACCCGCATAAGGGCGGGAGAGCACCTGATCCGAGTCACGGCACCAATGAAAGGACTTCGGCGCCAGTAACGACTCCACACTCGGCTGGAACCAAGAGATTTATTAAAAGGGGCAGTTACAGGAAGGGACTGTAACCGAGGAAGAGCAAGAGAGAGAGACTGCAGGGAGAGGGCTGTATTTATTAGCCTGACAGTGGCCAGAAGGGGCAGCGCTAGGTTTTATTGGAGGAGCAGCCTGGGAGCAGGGTGGGCAGACATCGTATTGCAGGCCCATTGGACATCTAACAAAGCTAGCTACATTATGGAAAATGATTGGACGCACTAGGGGAACCATGCTGAAGAAGCCAGAACCTAGGGCCTTTGCTGTCTAGTGTGGTTTTACAGTGTTCGGCGCCATTTCAGAAGGCGCCCCTCTGGCTGTTTCCTGCACCCTTCAAAATCCAGTTCCCGTATCATTTGAGAAGATGCTACGAGACCAGTTGGCTGTGATAGTGCAGGGGCTTCCAGAAGGGGTTACCTTTAAACACCCTGAAAATTATGATCTTGCAACCCTGAAACGGATTTTGGAGAACAAAGCAGGGATTTCATTTATCAATAAGAGACCCTTCCTAGAGCCAAAGAAGCATCTAGGTGGTTGCGTGATGGTAACCGCTGCTGACAGGTCAATATTGTCTCCACATGGAAGTTGTGGCCCCGTCAAAGTGAAAACTGAGCCCACAGAAGATTCTGGCATTTCCCTGGAAATGGCAGCTGTGACAGTAAAGGAAGAGTCAGAAGATCCTGATTATTATCAATATAACATTCAAGGAAGCCATCATTCTTCAGAGGGCAATGAAGGAACAGAAATGGAAGTACCAGCAGAAGATGATGATTATTCTTCACCTTCTAAGAGACCAAAGACCAATGAGCCGCCACAGCCACCAGTTATGGAAACTGCCAATGCTGGAAAGCAAAAAATGAGAGAGTTCAACTTTGAGAAATGGAATGCTCGAATCACTGATCTATGTAAACAAGTCGAAGAATTGTTTGAATGAAAATATGCTCAAGCTATAAAAGCCAAAGGCCCGGTGATGATCCCATACCCTCTTTTCCAGTCTCATGTTGAAGATCTTTATGTAGAAGGACTTCCTGAAGGGATTCCTTTTAGAAGGCCATCTACTTATGGCATTTCTTACCTTGAAAGGATATTACTTGTGAAGAAAAGGATTCGTTTTGTGATTAAGAAACATGAACTTCTGAATTCAACACGTGAAGACTTATAGCTTCCCAGTTACCCTATGTGATTGCCAATATTCTCACTATTTATAAATGCCGAACTTGAAGTTCAGGGGTTCCCTAACTCACACAGCAAGAAAATCATAGAGTCAGGACTTGATGCTAGCTCTATCTGGCCACAAAGCTCTGGGCTCACCAGTGCCCCACTGCCTTTTCTATTAGAGGTTATGGACCATGTTGTGTGTGCCAAGGGTTAGATATGCTACCCCATTTCTGCATGGGTAAAAAGAATTTGTCAAGCAAAAAAGTAAAGTATCACCTACTGACCTATGAAAGAGACTAGCAATAAAGGGAGACCCTTTGTAAAATAAAGCCATCTAACATCTAATCCAGAAGGACACAGGCTTTACATGGTAATGGAATTAGAGATTATATGAACACTAAGCATGCTTTTACTCTCTGAGCCTTTTCAGTATCAAAGAGTATGGAAGACACGTAGCGTATTTGGAACACTGCAGACTTAGTGGTATCAATACAAATCTGGGTTGGCCAAGACATTTTTATTGGTCCTAGAACTTGAAGCCATCCTGACATTTCATTTCTTGTTTTGCTGACCCTTTATTGTATACTCTTTGTCAGGTACTGTTAAGTAAAGGGGTTGGCATGGAGTCTTTGCCCTCAGAGAGCATGTCGGGTAATGCGGGAAATATTTTACAAAATATTTGGCATGGGATTTGATGAATGTGTCAGACATGTAAGGAAGTACATTGATAACACACAGGAAAATGGAATCATCTCTTTAAATGGATTCAAGGTAGTTTTTGGTGGAGTTGTTAGAATGGAATTTTAAAGAGTGAAAGCACTACCAGAAGTTGCCAAGAATATTCAAAACAGAAGAAACAATATAAGAAAGACAAGATGGCATGAAAAATGGAGGCATTCCTAAAGAAGTCTAAGTAGCTCCTTTTCTGCACAATCAATACAAGAGGCATAAAGAAGAACATTGGGGAATGAGGTAGAGAGGTAGGTGAAACCAAGCTGTCTTTCACAAAGCTCCTAAGAAGTACTTTTTAACCTGACTTGAAAAAAAAATTCATCGAGGGCCTTAAAAATTCCATGTGCTCATTACTATAACATACTGTCAAAAGAAGATACATATTGAAAAGGCTCAGGTAGAAACACAAATTGTGTAATTAGATGTAGTTAGGACAAAAGCAAGTCCCAGCAGTTCTTGGGACTCAGGAATATGTGCATATTTAGAGCATAAGAGTCACAAAAGCTGAAGATGCTACCCCCTGGGACATCAACACTGACTCTACAAGGGTTCAAACAAACAACAACCAAAAAAAAAAAAATGCTGAGCTTTGACTTCACCATCCCTGGTTCCTGCTACAACCAAACAGCTAAACACAGTCCATTGTATGTCCATTGTATGTCCATTGTAACTCCACAAGCCTTGATTGAGCCATGCGTCAGGTCTTGTTTCAGGTTCTGGGAATAAAATAGTATACAGAAAAATATTCCTGCCTCATGGGGCATTCATTCTAGTGAGAAGAGATAAAACATCATACAGACAAACAAGAACATCAGGGGATAAGTGTTAACAGAGAAAAAAATGAAACATGGAAAAGGGCTAGAAAGTGTGGGAATGGGTAGAAGGATTGATGCCATTTATAGAAAATATTCAGGAAAGGACCCTCCAAGAAGATGACATTTGCAGGAAGACCCGTGGAAAATAGAAGAATGCACTGTGAAGCTGCCAGGAGGAAGAGCATCAGGGTGGATGGGACAGGGAATCAGTCTGGAGATTTGCGTGGCCAGAAAAATGAGTTCAAGAGGTAGCAGGACCAGTGTAGACAGGACCTCAGAGGAAGGGTGGCCACATAGTCTGGTTTGCCTGGACAGTTTGTATTTGTGGCTATTTTCCAGATAAGATCATTCTTAGGACCCTCTTTCTTTCCCCAAATCATTCTATTTTGAATAATAAATTATATGACCACCTTATTTACAGGTGGCTTTAAGAGCTTTGGCCTTGAATCTGAATATGATGGGAAGGCCTTGGAGGATTCTAAGTGGAGGGGTGTCTTGATCCAATTTATTTTACTACCTTTCTAAAGAATCACTCCAGTTTCTGGGTTGAAGATAGAAACAAGGAGACGAGTGCAAAAACTGTCAAAATAATTCAACCAGGAGAAGAAGATGGCTTGGGCCAGGTTGTTATTGGAAAGACAGAAGTGGCAGAGTCTGATTCTGTTTTGACAGTTGAACTCATAGGATTTGCTGATAGATCAGACGTAGGATACGAAATTATTATGAGAGAAACTCATCTACATTCTAAACGTGTCTCTTGTCTTCTTGGTGCTTATGTTTGGCTTTGCCTTTTTTGAACAGGATCATTTTTGTTTTATTTTTAATTTAAAAGGCATTTCAAATTTACAGAAAAAATGCAAGGTTAGTAAAAAGAATGTCTAAAAAATCCCTCACCCTTTTCCTCTAATAACAGCTCTAAGGTTTTCAGCCTAAATACCTGGAAGTTGCTAACCTATTTCTTGCATAGAAATTGAGAACTCTTATTACCTAAAGGAAAGCTTCCCCAAGTTTGAAAGTTCACAAAAAGTTAGCAATTATTTTTGACTCTTCTGTTCCACCCCCAAGAATCTAGTTCTAAGCATGGAATGGTTTAATAGAAGCAAAAACAGAAATTGTTAGAATCCTAACAGCATTATAGGAGGGAAGAAAATGAAAATGACAGGAATATGCCTCCTTAGGGAGAAAGTTTTATAAATTATGGCATGGTGATAAGATACAAAATAACAGGTCTTCAAGACTAAAATCATTTAGAACTGTGGAAAATTAGATACTTGATAGGTTAAAATAGAACATTAAGAGCAAAATGTATGGTTGCAATATTATAAAAATGTCTATGTGTATGACACACAAAATAAAAAAAATCCCAAAATATTCATTGTGCAAAGATGGTAGACTATTGCATCACCTGATTTTTTAAATGCTAATTTTTCCTTTCTTTTTTTAAATGACAACAGAAAGAGGAGGGGTTTGGCTCAGGGAAAGACTTCCTACATTGGTTCAGTAAGCCAATTCCCTACTTTTCCTCCTTTTAAAACATCTTTCCTCACTCATCTCCTGACCTTGCCAGTTCATGGAATGAGAATGAAGAAACAGGGAATGGAAGAGAGAGGTGGGACACAAAGGAGAAGAAGTGGAAACCATTGATGTCTCCTTTAAAATGTCCCTCACATTCAGGGGAGCACACATTTGCCCTGCTTCCATGGTGCCACCCTCTCCCAAACCACTCTCAGGCTCATGGGTCTCTCCCTGCTTCTCCTACAACTGTCTGCCCACAATTCTTCTCCCAGCCTAACAGCCAAAGTCATTGTTTAAATACATGTCAGATTACATCACTCCTTGTTTTCACCTCCCCTATGCCCTGTGGTTTCCCTTTCTAAACCCCTTAGCGGGCTCTAAAACAGCAGTTCTCTGGCTGTCCCTAATACCATTTCTGGGGTCCATGCACATCACACAAGTTTCTTAATAGCACTGAGCCATCATGTGTCTTTTTCACATTCACTTTCCCACAAATGCACCCACTGAGGCAAAAGATACAAGCAACCAGTTGTCATCTATTCATCTCAGCATTAAGAAGACTTGCAAAAATGCGCAATGTACAACGCCAATGTTCTCACTACGTGTTTTTGGTTTGGGAAAATTGAGTTACTTTTATTAAAAAGCATATTGTTGTTCATTTAAAACAAATGAATAAATAAATATTCTTAACATTGTCAGTTTGATTTCCAATATGGTCAATATTGATAGATGCAATCCCCATAAACAAAAGCTCTTTGGGATACTCAGTAATCTTGAAGAGCACAGCGGGATCCTATGGGTGAAAAGTTTGGAAGCCACTGGTGTAAGAAGAAGGTCTTATATGGTCTGCCCTTGGGTATTTATTCCCTTGGTTTACTATGCTGAGGCTGCCCTGACACTCTTTCTTGCTCGCTCTCGCTCTCTCTAGTATGCCAAGCATCTTCTGTTTTCTACCTCCCCACTTCCTTGGTCCTCTTTCTGCATATCTCACACACTGATCTTTGTGTGGTGGCTTTTTCTCACCATCCAGACATCAACTCAAGTGTCCTCCCCTTGGGTGCCTCTCCTGACTGCTGAATCTTAGGTGTACCTCCATGACTCTCTATCATATGACTCAGTTGTATTTTTATCTTCATAATAACAGGCACCTGAAATAAATCCATATGTTTCTTGTCCGTCTCCTGTGATTAAGTGTGAACAACAGTAAGGAGTCATCTTGTTGGTTTTGCTTTCAACTGGATCCCAGCACCTGGATGAAGGCTCAGCACAGAAACGATGCCTACGACGTATTCGTGGAATGAAAGAAGGAGTTGCATTTCTTCCAGCCTCTGCCCTTCCTCCTCAGAACAGGTCATCCTCACCTCACACATGCATCCCTGAATACCTGCCTTGGCTGACTTCCCAGCCACAGCACCCAATTCGCCAATGGAGCTTGACCACCAAGCTCACGATTCTTCACCCACCTGTAATGTCACCCTATTTTGTGTTGCAACAAATTTGCAGAATGCTTGGCACAACCTGACTCCCTCATCTTGTCCAACTCGACTTCCTCCTGTTCCTCCACACACCTCTCCTCTATGTGGGCCAGCACCTTCAGTCTCCGCAAAGTGCTACGCACGCTCACCACTCTCTCGCCACAGTGGCACCCATGGTCCTCTTTCCCAAGATGATGCTCCACTTGCTCCAATGGTACCCATCCTTCAAGCCCAACTCATGTGAGCTCTTCTGTTGGGCCACTCAGGCCACTCCCAGCATGATAGATGTCCCTTTACTTTGTACCATACGACTTAGCACAAGGATAGGATCTCAGTCTTATCACTTTTGTTAGGGTCTATCTGGAACAAAG